GCTACGGGACCAGCTGCATGTAGTGGTGGGGTGGTGGTGGGGTCCAGGTGTACATGGCCATGCAGGCCTTGCACGTCGATCGCAGGGGATTGTGGGGCGATGGACTGGTGGGGGAAAGCGGCGCGGATAGGTCTGGCGATGTGTGGACGGCAAAGGGGAATGTTGTCTCGTCAAAAGTGATGTGGCGTGAGAGGATTACGCGTCCAAAAGGGATATGAAGGCAGCGATATCCTTTGTGGGAATCTGAAAACCCTAAGAAAACGCAGGGAAGCGATCGTGGAGCTAATTTGTTGGCAGAGATAGCGGACATATTGGGGTAACACAAGCAGCCGAAGACACGAAGATCGGCATAGTTAGGTGGAGTGAGGAAAAGGGAATCGCAGGGAGAATAATGAGGGCAAGTTTTGGTGGGCCGAACGTTGAGGAGGAAAGTGGCATGACGAAGAGCCTCGACCCAATAGCGGGCAGGCATGGACGCCTGAGTAAGGAGAGTGCGGAGAACATCGTTGATTGTACGGAGAGAGCGCTCGGCCTTGCCGTTCTGAGGCGAGGTGTAAGGACAGGAGAAGCGAAGTAAGATACCGTGGTGAAGAAAGAAATCACGGTTGCGGGCGTTGTCAAATTCACGGCCGTTGTCACATTGCAAGAATCGGATGGGAAGAGCAAAGTGAGTGGATACATAGCGTTGGAAATAACAAACAGGATATGAACATCAGACTTGGCACGAAGAGGGAATGTCCAGATGAAGTGCCAGTAGTCATCTAACATGACAAGATAATATTTGAAACCGGATACCCTTGGTGTGGGTGATGTCCACAAGTCACAATGCAAAAGTTTAAAGGAAAAGAACTACGTAGCCTAACATGCTTGCCTAGCTGACAAGCGTGACAAAGAGAAGTGTCGTGTGAACTACGAGCGTGAGAAATCTGAAATTCATCGAGAAGATTCGTCGTCGTCGTGCTGTTGGGGTGCCCGAGCCGGCGATGCCACGAGGTGATGGAGGCGAGCATGGCGTGAGGAGGAGGCGTGGGAGTGGTGGCGCCGTGGACAGTGTACAGATCGCCGAGACTATTGAACTGAGCTAGCTCCTTCTTGGTTCGAAGATCCTTCACAAACAATCCAAAAGGGTCAAATTCAACGAAAACCTGATTGTCAATAGTAAAACGGCGAACGGATATAAGGTTCCTAATGAGAGCGGGAGCGACAAGAACTTCTCTAAGGAGAAGGGGCGAGAGAGAGTGAGAGAGGTAGGAAGTACAGACGCCGGTGACTGGAACAGAGGAGCCGTCTCCGATGGTCATGGAGGGGAACATAACATAGAGATGAAGTGAGGAAAGTGAAGCGCTAGATGCAGACATATGACAGGATGCACCAGAGTCGAAGATCCAATCGTTACCTGCATCCTAAGTGGTAAGAGAGTTCATGGCAGCGATGAAGGCGGCCTGATCCCAAGCCAGCGCGGTCAAGGGTGAAGCAGAGGCGGGCGGTGGTTGAGTTGATGAAGAGGTGCCCGAGGCCGTGTGCTCCCAGGGTGGTGGCATGGGGAAGCCGTAGGGGTACGTGGGCGGCGCCGCCTGGTACAGAGGCGCATATGCAGCATAGGCATGCGGTGGTGGACGGGCGCCGAGGAGACCAGGCGCGCCGGTGGAGGGACGGAGGCCTGGAACCCAGCTACCGATGTAGGCCGACGGAGCACCATATGGCGAGGGAGCGGACCAGGGCATAGGCCATGCCTGCACCAACCTAGTCCACGGATCATGCTGAGGATGCCAGGTCGAAGGAGCCGGAGGTGAGGGTGCAGCGGCTGGTGGAGGAGGATTCGATGCAGGGGCAGGCATCGATGAAGAGGACGCCGATCCGGGCTTCGGCAGGCGGTACACCAGGTTTTTGCCCTTGTAGTTGGGGCTGGGGCGCCACCCGGGAGGAGGTTGTGGTGCAGAAGATGGCGGGGGCGGCACCGCAGCCACCGGAGGTGGAGCAGAGCGCGCGGCAGTGGAGAAGCGGGATCAAAGTCGCCTGTTGAGCAAATTGCTCGTCGAGTCCGCCCATGAGCACGTGAAGAAGAGGGCGGCCGGCGACCACTTCGCCAAGCTCGCGAAACTCATCGCCGATGGCCTTGATTCACTGGCAGAAGACGCCAATGGGGCGGTCTCCCTGGGTGACCGTGCGAAGCTCGGTGTTGAGGGCAGAGACGCGAGCGTCGTGGTTGTCCTGGAACAACCGATGGAGCTCGATCCAGATGTCGCGAGAAGTTGCGCCATCGGTGACCACCAAGTTGAAGAGCTCAGTGGAGATGCGCATGTACAGCCACTGGATGATGGCTAGATCATCCTTCAGCCAGCGGGAGTCGTGGGGCGCCGGCGACGCATCGCCGGTGATGTGGTGAAGAAGAGAGCAGCGGCCAAGATGTATCTCAAAAAGATGCCGCCAATGATAGTAGTTGTGGCTATGAAGATTGAGCACGATGGGGATAAAGGGGATGATGTCCGTGATCGTGTCGCTGAAGTTGAGAGAAGGCGGCTGGGAGGTGGGAGGAACGGGAAGGATTGGCTAGGCGCCGTCTTGGGTGGTTGGCTGGCCGCCGTGAGCGGGAAGGATTGGCTGGCCGCCGTCTTGGGTGGTTAGTTCGCCGGAGTTGGTCATGGCGAGCGTGTGTTTGCGGAAGAGGATCGAATATCTGATACCATGAAGATTAATAGAGTGTTTTCATTCCTTGTATTGAGAGTACATGGAGGGGGGTACATATAGAGTTGCTGGCGCTACAACATCTGGACGAGGAGATGATCGTGGCCTTGATCGTGGGAGGTGAGGGCAGACCGAGTCCACACTCTAACAGATTCCGCAGACGTGCTCGCCCCAGTAGGCATCCCGGGATGCGTGGACCGTCTGTACGCTCTGATGGAGGACGGTGCCGCCCCGCCCGGCCTCTCCTCCGCGGCAGGGGCGCCGCGGCGCGGGTGGTGGGTGGACAAGGACGACGAAGACGCGGTGTACCTGAGGTGCTGATGCTGGGGCTCGGGAAGGAGCGCGTGAAGGTGTGGGCGGAGCGGAACATCCTGGTGATCAAGGGCGGGGGCGAGAAGGCGCACCGGAAAGGCGACAGCAACCCCGCGCTGTCAAGGTACAGTCACCGCATCGAGATGCCCGCTGGCGAGTACAAGATGGACAAGATCAAGGCCGAGATGAAGAACTTCGTGCTGAAGGTGACCGTGCCCAAACTGAAGGAGGAGGAGCGCATGGACGTGTTCCAGGTGACGATCGAGTATGGAGGCGAGTCGAGTAGTCGTAGTGGTAGTAGTACTCATGGAAGACGGATCGAGTCTAGTAGTGGTAGTGGTAGTGTTCATGGAGGATGGCCGGCGCGAGAGGATGAGAGATGCCTTGTTGGCGTGGTGACGTTTGGTGTCTTTCTGCCCTGTTTTGCTTCGTCTATCGTCTTGGATCGTGGTTTCTGAGTTCTGATCGACCGGTGGTGAAATTGGTCGGGAACTCTGTTCGTACTCCCTCCGTCCGTAAATATTTGTCTTAAAAAGGATAAAATGAATGTATCTACAACTAAAATAAGTCTAGATACAACCATTTTGAGGACAAGTATTTCCGGACGGAGGGAGTATGATGAACTCTTTGGTGGTGAAATTGGTCATGAAGCTTTGTTGATTTCTCATGTTTGACGTGATGAATTGATTTTGGTGGTGAAATTGGTGATGAACTTCTTTTTTCGAGGGATGGTCATGAACTTTGTTGATTACCTCAAGCTTGCACATGATGAACTGATTTGGTGGTGAAATTGGTCATGAACTTTGTTGATTTCCTCAAGTTTGACGTGATGAACTGAACTGCATTGGTGGTGAAATTGGTCATGGTACTTTGTTGATTTCCTCATGTTTGACGTGATGAACTGATTTTGGTGGTGAAATTGTTGATGAACTTTGTTTTTAGGGATGGTCATGAACTTTGTTGATTACCTCAAGCTTTGCACATGAACTGATTTGGTGGTGAAAGTGGTCATGAACTTTGTTGATTTCCTCAAACTTGCACGTGATGAACTGAACTACTTTGGTGAAACTGGTCATGGAATTTCTGATTTACTCCAGCTTGGCTTGATTAACTTATTTGATGGTGAAATTAGCCATGAACTTGGTTGATTCCCTCAAGTCTGACGTGATGAACTGAGTTAGTAGTGAACGGACTCATTGAAATTCGTGTGTCTATCCTCTGTGTTACTTTTTGTAGGTAGTTGTACTCTTCTTGTGTAAACAGCCATATGAGATGGGCGTTTGTTTATCAGCTCCTTCGTGATTTTCATGGTGACAAACAGAACATGATTGTAACTGTCAAGACACATGACACAAGAAATTTAGCACATTCTGGTGTGCACTTGTAACAAAGAAATCGGAAACTCAATGTTGGTGCAATGTTTTCCAGTGCACTGCTCCTCCAAGCTCAAACTTTCATTCAGAAATACCCAGCTAGGAATTCAGCATGTCTCACCTATTCCTCTTATTCTATTTGTATTGGTTTTACCTACACAAGAGGCTTACAAATGCAGCTACATCTAAAGCCCTGCACAGCCGTGTTCTGAACATACTCATCCTCATGCTGCCATCGTGTGATGTCAGATCAACAGAAACTATCTCAGGTGAGATACTACTAGCGTTGAGATGTTTCAACAGAAACTATCCTCTGCTCTTTATTAGTCCTATACTTACAAGAGGTAATAATTATACCCATGCTTACAAACTGCAGTTACATCTAAACCGCTGTACAGCTGCTCCGAACATCTTTGGTGCATTGGCAACTTGTTCTGCGGAAGAGAGCCGGGCCGTGTGTGCCAAGAGCCGGGCCGTGTGTGCCAACGAATCGTTGGACCGTAATGTCAGCTAAGCAGAAGCTCTAATGCTGTGGAACTTTATCAGTATGCACCTCCCTTTCCTCTATGTACCTGGGAATGGTCGCCAGGGGGCAGGGGCAGCGAAGACCGGTTAACTCCATGATCGTGGTTATATGCTGACAATAGAATCGTCATTCGATTGACAAAGGCAATCAGGAAGAGGGTTCTCGTAAAATGCCTCCTCTGACCGAAACCTATCGCTGCCCCTCGTCCCGGACACGGGACCTTTCCGTTTCCGAGGAGAACCTTGTCTGAAGACAGATGAAGAACAGCATAAGAAATACAAACAGTTAAAAATATAGCAAAGGGTCCTTTGGCTCTCATGCCCAGTTCAGTACCTCTTCTGGTGCATTTCTATTATCTTTTGCGATAGCTTTTTGCCTTCATCGAGTAATCCACTGTCAACTTTGTCAAACAAATGAACTAATGCTTTCCTGAGGACAGAAAAAAAATATGAGACCGAGAAGAAGGGAAGGGTGACGCAGCAGCTTTATAGACAAGTGCTAGTTGTTGTTTCACCTGTCAGGACTGATTGTTTTCCTGTGGCCATGGAAACGCCGATGACCGGCAACAGCCCGTGCCATGTTCCCAGAATATGATGGAATAAATACATCACTTTCTACTGAAACGATGTAATCCAAAGCTGCCATTTGAGAAGCGTATTGGCTGAACGGTCGCAGTTCTTCAGCAGAGGCCAGTTTCTCCTGCAAAATGGAGAAGACACAATATGCTGAACAAACAAAAGTCAGGTTGTCAAACACTAGGAAAAACAAAATGGCAGTGTTCATACCTTGTTCATCAGAATTGGGAATCGGGATTGCAAATCGACCATATGAGATTCACCTCCATATATCTCCCCTGCAGCTATGTAAACTGGGGTGCTTGATGGATATCCTAGGGCAGAAAGAAACATTCCAACCTCCTTTGGCGTCAGGGGACAATGACCATGTGATCTTTGTTCTAATGGATCAATGTCTTTCACCTTCCAGTAGGTTGTGTTTCCTCTGTAAAAATAGGTGAAGAAGTAAGTCACATAATACTATAGAGTTCTAAAACCAAGAAAGTAAAGACAATGCAATGACTAACAAATCTATTTTAAAGGCCTTGCCTGATCATTGCAAGCTCCTCTGATTCGGTCTCTGACAGACCATACGTACACCCACTAAAAGCAAGCATATCCTTCTCATAGCGTAAATGCAAAGCAATATATGGTCCAAATGCTTTCATCCTCTCCACCAAAAGCTGAAAATTGGTTGATATTATTTGTCAATACATTTATGCATTAGAAGTTCGAACTATAATGTTATATTTTTCCCGTGATGGACTTTAGAGAAGGATTTACATTGCCTAAAGCTTCGATTGGGGGAGCAAATCTAAGTGCCTGGAAAAAGGTCCGGCAGCGAAGTTTTTGAATATCAGGAGGGAGGAAGTTGTTTGCAAGGCGAGAATCCGATTTAGCAGCTCGAATAACCTGATACAAATCTTTGATCAGAATAACAGTTCCAAATACTTGCATCCAGTAACTACTGCTTACGGTTGATTAGTACGCAGCCACAAAAGGGCAGTAGTTGTGGAATCCAAACCTGACGGTGCTCCCATAGTGGAGAAATCTCATCCTGATAATAATCTACTCCAGACCAACTCTTGAAGTACCTAACAGATTTTGGTGCTTTCACCAATTCCTTTGGCAACTTTTTCTCAATTATCACATCGTTTGCCAAATAACGTATAAAGTGTTCTTCGTCGAAGACATCCGAAAAGTTGCTGTGTTGAGAAATGAAAAATGGTTGTGTCAGTTTGATCAGTTAAGGCTCAGAGCAAAAACAACCATGCAGTGTCCACCTTTTGTCGAGCCAAAACGATTTCTTATCAAGTTCTGGGATTATAAGTGTAGCCTTGAGTATTCGTGCAACTGCTACCATATCACTGATCTGCCATAAAAATAAGAACAAATCAGTGAAAAATTGGAAGTGTGTGGGAGCTTGCATTTAAAGTGAAGCTTCTCATGATTATGATTGATTGGTAATCAGGGACATGTATACACAAGACAGAAGACAAAACAATGAACATATGCTTCATCTTTCCTATCTTTATCAAGTCACATCACGCTTTTGTTAAGACATTCCTAAGAATAGGAAAAACCTCTAACATGCAAAAGGATATGTTCAAGCCCGCCTAAACAAAACTAGCAAATTCTGTTAACGGATCAAACTCAAAAGGACTTTGCAGGAGTTGATGTTCGTTCTCTCAAGGGATGTATGCTCAAAGAGAACGTATTCACTTTTGGTATCACCTAACAAATCAGGCACCTTTCTTGTCACAAGTATATACAGCTGTCTTGGATGCTATAAATGAAACGTACAAGATAGTGACTGAAGTGATGGCACAAATATGACAATGGCACATTCAAATAATCAACATTTATCATGGCAAAGAAAATGACTGCGACACTCAATGGCACACTAGGACAAGAAATTCAGAAGAGTGCAGAGACAGCATGCACCCCCCAATCATACTCAGGACTTTATCCTGAGTGCAGTTGAGCCATTCATGTCTATTCCACCGATAACTCGGTTGGGCAATAACTGGAGAACTGCGCGCAGCAGCCAGTTTAGTTTCACAGCCGCCAGTTCAAGCTTATGCAGGCATATCGCTAGATGGGGATGAAGCACCAAAACACTGCCCACTGAAGTCGGGTGTCTACACTAGCACCAGAACCACCAGTACGCATTGAATACAGCATCGAAACACTGCCCACAAAGCTGGTGATGAAATGCTACAAAACCGTCAACTCTGATCAAACATCCCACATGCACGCACGCTAGTTTCCAGCTTCCCACCACGTAAGTCAAGCATATCTAATGCAAACTGGACCATTATTCCTATGCCACGGCAACTAGGGAATTTTTTACCAGGACGAACCAATGACTCACCCCGGCGCGCATCTGGTTGAGCCCGCCATTGGTGTGTACGAGCAGGTACCCCCTCGATGCCTCCGGACCTGGAAAAACAGGCCGACCAGAATCAGAACGGCCTACCGAGAATGTGCGCCGGGCGGGCGAGATTCTACCGCTAGATTTAAGTGCCAGTGCGCGTACGTCTGTACTCGAGCGACGGCGAGACGCAGGGCACGAACCGGCGCGACGGGGCCGGCAGCCACAGCCTCTTCTCCGGCGCGTCCTCGGCCGCGCCGTCCAGCTGTCAAATCTAGAGATTAATCCCCAATGTCACGGGCTCCCATGTAACAGGATAAAATATACTGGCACAACGGTAAGAGACGCGCCATCGGGCGGCGCACGGCGAGGGAATCACCTTCCGCGCGTGCGGCGAGGCGAGCTGCGGCGGCGCGAACTCCTGCTCCCAGCGCAGCTCCTCGGCCTCCCGCGGCTGCTGCGGCGGCGGCGGCGGCGATCCGTTAGCACACCCCAGAGAGTTTCAATCTGAGAGACGGAAGGGCCACAGAGAGACCCGGAAGTCGCGCGTACCTTGGCCAGGCGGTAGGGCGAGCCGGACGTGGCGGACGCGGAGACGTGGAGCGCGACGGCGAGCAGCGCGGCCGCGGCGGTGACGGCGGCGCCGGCCCCGAGGAGGGAGAGCAGCCACCACCTCACCGCCGCCCGCCGCCCCGCCGACCTCCCCTTGCGCCGCAGCGCCATCTCATCCGCCGACCTCCCAGAAAGCCCCGGCCCCGTGCCGTCGCGCTTTGCTTGGCGCCGCAGCGAGGTAATCGGCGCGCGTGGTTCGGTTCTGTTTTCCGCGCTGCCCGCCCCAGATGGAGCGAGGTGGGCCGTCAGGTCAGGCCGTGGCGCGCTGGCTTTTTGGTCGCTGCCCGGGAGGCGCTTGCGTGCGGGGCCGACGATGCCTGCTGGCCGCGGTAAAACGGGGGCCGCGCCGGGCGGAGGGAAAGGGGGAGCGCTTCCGAGGCGGAGGGGCGGGGGTTTTGTTGGAGACGGGACGGGACGGAGAGCGGCGGATGGCAATGGCACTCGCCACCTGCCCTGCCCGTCTTAAACCGCAGCGTGGTTCGTGCCAGGGGCGGGGAGGGGGGAGGGGAGTGGGCGGGGCGTGTGTAGTGTACGGACGGGTCGCGGTGGTTTTGCGGCGATTAAACCGGTTCGTTATCGGTGCTTTTCGGCGTGGTTTCATGGAGGCTTTTAATTAGTTTCGGCGTAGTGGATGTGGTGCTAAAATTGATGGTAAAGTGATCGTGTCTCCAAATTGTCTTTGTTTGGAGGTGCAAATGTTTATGTCGGTTTTCCTTGGACTGGTTTTTTTAAGGGTTACAGCAACTCTAGCAGATACAGTAAAACCTCGTCGGAACACTTTCTCCAGCGGATTTACAAGACGGTAAAAAAAAGCCAAACCAGGTCTGGTAAAAATGGTCCGGCCCCTAAAATCCTTAAGAGGGGGGGGGGGGCCCTTAAACCGCCCCCGATTCCACAATATATGCCGGCACCAGGGTGTTGTAGGGTTCACATCCTCCTCTGCCGCATTTCTTTTACTCCGGCAACAAATATAGCGAGCTCCAGCGTCGTTTTCCAGCGAGTTGAGCCACCTGAGGCAAGAGGAGATGTCGTGTGCGGGCGACGAGAGGGGTGGCCAAGAAAGGCTCGGCGGTCGCGGCGGACTTGACGGCGATCCGTCTCGCAAGCGCTGCAACGACGCGGAGAACGGGAGCTCCTCCCTCCCCCACTGGTGGAGGAATGGCGCAAGGAGCAGGCGTGCAAGCGCGGCACCCTCTCATGTAGCGCCGGAGCACGAACGTGGAGGAACTTCAACCGCCTCTATTGTAACGGAGGTTGTGTTGCAGAATTCTTTTTTTCAGCTTCACCTTTTTGCAACAGAGATGGTGTTGCTAAAAGAACTTTTGCAACATGGATGATGTTGCATAATTTTTTGTAATAAAAGGATGTCGCAGCAGCACCGTCGTCATTGCTATCGCCGTTTTGCAACTCTGCCATTGCTGTAGAAACTCATGGGCGTGCGGCCGCATGTCCTGGCGGGCACGAGCAGCTTCCGCTGCGCGAGGCCAATCCGACGGTGTCGTGACGCTGGTCCTACGCCCACTTTTGTCGTCGGTGACGAGGACCTCCGGTCGGGATCACGCCCGCGGCAGAGGCAGCATGGCTCTTTCCTGTCGGCACCTGGGGTGGCTTCGACGGTGACTGCTCGGGCCTGGCCGCCAAGGTCGCCTCGCCGTGGTCGGGGAAGCCACCATTGGCAAAGGTCGTGTTGTCGTCGTTGCCCTCACTCACAGTTCCCTCCTGATGGGTCTGCAACAGTCCGCTTGTTCTGGTGTGCCTTTTGAAACAGGTGCCCAGTTGCAAGAATATATATGTGCCTAGCGTTTAAATGGAGACATAAGGATGATAGGCGAGATGCGGTGTGCGGGCCATGAAGACGCGCAGGACACTAAAAACCCAACCCTACATTACCCTATATTTGATGGTGACCTCGGAGGCCGTGCCGGGCTGGCCGGCGTCTCCTCTATCATCGTCGCCGGAGCCGTAATCTGAGTCATCGTCATCGGGCTTCGGGCGATGTAAGGGCGCGGCGTCGCGGCAGGGCTTCCCGGCAGCCACCTGACGCTCACGGATGATCCTCTTTGTTTCTTCCTACGTCATGCGCAGCGCGTCTGCGGCCAACGATGACGTGGGCAGGGAGAGAGGGTGGCGGGCCTTAGAGAAGGCAGCATTGGTGACGATCTCTCTAAGAGACCACACCTCGCTGTACTTGGCCATTTCCCCGTCGAGGCGCAATACCAGTCGCCGAGCTCCTCCATGACACCAGAGATGCCCGGTTTTCATGCATCGTGGCAACATGCACAGACCCGATTCTCCACGTCGTCGGATGGCATCGTGATTGCGCCGGCCACCCCCGCCAACCCGTTGTTGGTCGCTCGTCAAAGAATGTCCCAAGTTCAAAAACCAATATGCCACTCTAAAGAAGAAAGGAGGGCCGACGGTCGTGGCTGGGAATGGAGGTGTGCTCAAGAGGCCGAGGGGCAAGACCAACTCGGAACGAGAAGCGTGATGTGGCATCTATCACCTTGCAAGAAACTTCGCACGACATGAGGACTCAAAAGGAAGTGAGGGAGGAGAGGAAGCACCAAGGAAAGGAGGAGCAAATGAAGATATATTTGGAGCTTCAAATGAAGAAGCTTAACATGGAGGAGGCTGTTGGGTAACGTAGTAATTTCAAAAAAATTCCTACGCACATGCAAGATCATGGTGATGCATAGCAACAAGAGGGGAGAGTGTGATCTACGTACCCTTGTAGATCGACAACGGAAGCGTTAGCACAACGTGGTTGATGTAGTCGTACGTCTTCACGGCCCGACCGATCAAGCACCGAAACTACGGCACCTCCGAGTTCTAGCACACGTTCAGCTCGATGACGATCCCCGGACTCTGATCCAGCAAAGTGTCGGGGAAGAGTTCCGTCAGCATGATGGCGTGGTGACGATCTTGATGTACTACCGTCGCAGGGCTTTGCCTAAGCACCGCTACAATATTATCGAGGATTATGGTGGAAGGGGGCACCGCACACGGCTAAGAATATGATCACGTGGATCAACTTGTGTCTCTAGGGGTGCCCCCTGCCTCCGTATATAAAGGATCAAAGGGGGGTGCGGCCGGCCAGGAGTGGGCGCGCCAGGAGGAGTCCTACTCCCTCCGGGAGTAGGATTCCCCCCCCCCTTTCCTAGTTGGAATAGGATTCGGGAGGGGGGAAAGAGGAGAGACAGAAGGAAGGGGGGCGCCGCCCCCCTCTCCTTGTCCTATTCGGACTAGGGGGAGGGGTGCGCGGCCCAGCCCTGGCCACCTCTCCTCTCTTCCACTAAGGCCCACTAAGGCCCATATACCTCCGGGGGGGTTCCGGTAACCTCCCGGTACTCCGGTAAAATCCCGATTTCACCCGGAACACTTCCGATATCCAAATGTAGGCTTCCAATATATCAATCTTTATGTCTCGACCATTTCGAGACTCCTCGTCATGTCCCCGATCCCATCCGGGACTCCGAACTCCTTCGGTACATCAAAACTCATAAACTCATAATATAACTGTCATCGAAAACTTAAGCGTGCGGACCCTACGGGTTCGAGAAAAATGTAGACATGACCGAGACACGTCTCCGGTCAATAACCAATAGTGGAACCTGGATGCTCATATTGGCTCCTACATACTCTACGAAGATCTTTATCGGTCAGACCGCATAACAACATACGTTGTTCCCTTTGTCATCGGTATGTTACTTGCCCGAGATTCGATCGTCGGTATCTTAATACCTAGTTCAATCTCGTTACCGGCAAGTCTCTTTACTCGTTCCGTAATACATCATCTCACAACTAACTCATTAGTTGCAATGCTTGCAAGGCTTATGTGATGTGTATTACCGAGAGGGCCCAAAGATACCTCTCCGACAATCGGAGTGACAAATCCTAATCTCGAAATACGCCAACCTAACATGTACCTTTGGAGACACCTATAGAGCTCCTTTATAATCACCCAGTTACGTTGTGACATTTGGTAGCACACAAAGTGTTCCTCCGGCAAACGGGAGTTGCATAATCTCATAGTCATAGGAACATGTATAAGTCATGAAGAAAGCAATAGCAACATACTAAACGATCGGGTGCTAAGCTAATGGAATGGATCATGTCAATCACATCATTCTCCTAATGATGTGATCCCGTTAATCAAATAACAACTCTTTTTGTTTATGGTTAGGAAACATAACCATCTTCGATTAACGAGCTAGTCAAGTAGAGGCATACTAGTGACACTCTGTTTGTCTATGTATTCACACATGTATTATGTTTCTGGTTAATACAATTCTAGCATGAATAATAAACATTTATCATGATATAAGGAAATAAATAATAACTTTATTATTGCCTCTAGGGCATATTTCCTTCAGTCTCCCACTTGCACTAGAGTCAATAATCTAGTTCACATCGCCATGTGATTCAACACTAAGAGTTCACGTCACCATGTGATTAACACCCATAGTTCACATCGTCATGGGACCTATACCCAAAGGGTTTACTAGAGTTAATAATCTAGTTCACATCATTTATGTGATTAACACCCAAAGAGTACTAAGGTGTGATCATGTTTTGCTTGTGAGATAATTTTAGTCAACGGGTCTGTCACATACAGATCCATAAGTATTTTGCGAATTCTATGTCTACAATGCTCTGCACGGAGCTACTCTAGCTAATTGCTCCCACTTTCAATATGTATCTAGATCGAGACTTAGAGTCATCCAAATCTGTGTCAAAACTTGCATCGATGTAACTTTTTACAACAAACCTTTGGTCACCTCCATAATCGAGAAATATTTCCTTATTCCACTAAGGATAATTTTGACCAATGTCCAGTGATCTACTCTTAGATCACTATTGTACTCCCTTGCTTAACACCGTGTAAGGTATACAATAGATCTGGTACACAGGATGGCATACTTTATAGAACCTATGGCTGAGGCATAGGAAATGACTTTCATTCTCTTTCTATCTTCTGCCGTGGTCGGGCTTTGAGTCTTACTCAATTTCACACCTTGTAACACAGGCAAGAACTCTTTTTGACTGTTCCATTTTGAACTACTTCAAAATCTTGTCAAGGTATGTACTCATTGAAAAAACTTATCAAGCGT